AAATTTGCATATGCTTTTATTTAGCATAGAATCATTTTTCTCAGTTTTTCAAGATTACAGCAGAACTACTAAAATTTATTCAAAGCTAACTAATAAAAAGAATCACTTGCACTTGTATCACTATTATTATTATAACTATCTTAACTATCACTTTTATTACTATTATAACTATTACTTTTATTACTATCTTAACTATTATTTTTATTACTATCTTGATTATTACTTTTATTTTTATTTATATTTTTTTTACTTGAAGACTGTAAAGATACTAAGATATAAGTTCTATATTTTTTTTATTTAGGCTATTAAATTCAGTTTTATAATTATCTATACTATTATTAATATTTTTTATATATACAATATATATAGATTCTTGTTTAAACTATACTTGATAAATATTAGTATAAAATTCAAGCTTTTGATATTTCTCACCTAAAGCTAGATAAGCATAATAATACTAACTACTTATTAATATTGTAAAGATTTGATTTAAGCTATATACATAGTAATAAGTTGCTATTGAATATTAATGCCTATATGATGCTCCTGTTGAATTATATTCACATATTCTAAGCTTTATATTTATAAGATATTATATGTTCAGATTTTTTTACTTTTATATTTAAATATCATTGAATCAAGACTTACAACCTCAATATCATTTTTTGATCCAATTTGCTAGCTTAGAAAATAAAAATATAGTATAATAAAATGATTTAGCCTATTATAAGCTATAGCTAATAGCTTACAAGTATAATATAGATCTATTGTATAAGTAATAAAATAGAAAATTTGTATGATGTTAAATGCTTGAATTTGTCTAAAAATAATATCTTTTATTATTCATATCCTAGTTTCAGAAAATTATTTATATATTATTATAAGTTAATAATTGTTAACAAAATAAAATAGCCTATTCTTTGTGATAATTTTAAATAACTCTAAAATACCTCTAGAAGTATAGATATTTTAAATATATTTGACTAGTTATAAGTTCTGCATAAGTAGCTTCAAGTGTAATCTCATTTCTTGTAAAAATAATTTTTTAAATATTCAATAAGAATAACATGATTATTCATATAAATGCTATACTTTTTTTTCTATAACTATTTTTATATTATCTGCAGAAAATAAAAAATATATAATAACAAGTTTGTCTTTCTTCAAGTACACTGCAATACTTTTCTTTCTGCAGTAGAATTATCAGTTATAATAATTTGAGGTCTAACAAAAAGTCTATGTCTACTAAATATAGTTAATAATATTATATGCTTTAATATATCTAAAGCTTTTGTAAGTATAATTATAATTTTATCTAATGTTAATATTGTAGCAAGAGGTAAGCCACTAATAGAAGTATTAGTTGAGATAATAGTCAAAGAAGTATTAAGAGTGTTAAGACTAGCTATAGCATCTATATAGACTAATTCTTTGGCTTGTTAAACAAATAATAATATTTTATAAGATTTGTTATTCCTTAATTTGTAATACAGGCAAATTTGCCTGTATCCACTTTTAATTTTTGTAATTTTTAAAATAAACTTTAAATATTAACTTTAAATATAT